ACTCAGTTGTAACTTTTGAAGTCTTCTTCCTTGCATCAGTAGCTGTGAATCCCGATTCTTTCAGCTTTTTGTAGCAACTGGCACAACGTTTTTGCCAAATTTTTTTACCAGCTTTCTTGGGTATTTTCGTTAGCTTGTGACTTGTAGGACGCAAAGAACTCGCAGAACTGGAACTTGAACAGTTCTCAGTTTCAACTTTAAGTCATTTCTTTATAATGATTTGATGACCATCCAGAACCTTCAATTTTGACTGTGGATAATCCACAATGTTCTTGCTACTACGTCTGTGCATTATTTATAATTCACGGTATTCTAGCTGTCAAGTCCGTGCATTAAAAATAATGCAATGCTGAAATTCAGTTATTTGTAAAGTTTTATTGATAATCAATTGGACGTCACGACAACCATACCCAAAGTACTCTGGACAGGCAACGTGTTAATTGATCGCTCACATCCAATAGAAATTCACCTTTTTAGTTTAGATTGAGGAGCCATATTAAAAGTATTGTATTTTCTTTCATTTTAGCGCTTCAGAAGCTAAATTTTTAGACGGCAATATACAAAATTGCTACTAAATGATACAACATTTTCATAAATTTTCATCTATTACTTAACGAATTCCAGGTGGCTCCTCAATTCAGACGTTTAGATTAAGGAGCCACTTTTGCATTAAAATAACCAGTGATATTAATTTTGCTGCTAAATCTAGAATTCGTGCTGCAAAATAAGCAACATTGCTGCTAAATAATGGTGAGATCAGATTTAAAAAAATCTGATGTGGCTCCTCAATCCTTAAGACATAATTTCACATACACATAACACCCAGACCCGGAACAAAAATTTGTATATGCTTCGTGCGGGAGACGAAACAACTTTACACATAAAGTTGTTTCGTGCTCCCGCACAAGGCATCGAACCCGCGTCACGTTGCACGACAGCCAGTTGTCCAGCCATCACGCCAACCGTGCAGTCGTTAACGGTTGTGCACAATTTTCGGTGATACCGTAGGTCAGTCACGAATTACTCGTACTGTAAATGATTACTTTGTAAACTATTTAGGTAACTTTATATAAACGTTACCTAATATCAACATTTTTTATAAACATAGTTCGTTCCATAATTAGAGACAACGATTTGACATTTTGAGAAATTAAATTTTGGACTTCGTGCATTTTAAAAGCTTTATTAGTTTTAGCTACTTTCCCTGGTACCTTCCTGTCCCCATACTAACTCAGTCGGGTTAAAATCACAATGGTAAGGAGGCAACCGTAAAATAGTGATCCGCCTTTTACTACCCATCAGTCCACGACGTATCGTTCATAATTACTCTTCTCTTTCCGGGAAATCTCCAACAGCTCGGCTTTCAGCAAATATAATGTTTTTCTTTTAGCCAGTCTTGGATTTCGCATTTTTATTTTAAATTATTTTTTATTTATCATATAAACATATAAATTATATTTTTAAACATTTCTTAAAAATAAAAATAAAAAACATTTAAAAATATTAAAAATAGTGTCCCACCGGTATCGGGAACAGGGTCCAAGCTACCGGCGGTCAGGGCTCCAGAGAGAGGAACCTCCTGACAATACGATCCGTGTCCAAGGAGTACTACTTTCTGAATCAAGCCCTTGATCCAGCCACCTAACGAGAGCCTCCTAAGATGTTGGTCGAGGCTCTTGGCTATTAAGCCATTGGGTGACACGACTATCGGTACAATGACAGCCGAATCCACTTCCCACATGTCGACAACCTCGCGTGCCAAGTCTATATAGGTACTTGATTAGCTTATCTTTCTCAGCTTTCACGAGGTTCTCGTCATGTGGGACAGCTATATCAACAATCATTGCACGCCTCTCGTTTCGGTCTACTACCACTATATCAGGCTTATTGGCCACAATAGTCCTGTCAGTGATGATAGACCGGTCCCAGTACAAAGTGATATGACCATTTTCAACACAGAACAGAAAATTAAGTAGAAGTGCCCCTACACTCTTTCAAAAGGAAAACCAGTGTCGCCAAAATCACACATTCGCAAATCAAATTGTCCATTACACACATAAAAAACAGCTATATAATTGGGTAAAACGTTGAAACGCAACTTTAGCAAACCATCTTCTAAATGTTGTTAAAAATTGAGTCTTATAACAATGAGCGAAAGTTATTATCATTTCACATGTCACAATCAATAAAGGCGTCTATCGTGTAAAAAACTTAAATAAAACAATTTACAAACGGGTGCAGCCACTCAATGCTAGATGGCGCTGTAACAAATTCATTCTATTCAAAATGCTAACTTCTTTGAAATAGATGTCATATTTGTATGCACTAGTACCAATAGACATTACTATTTTGCTACTCAGATAAGGCAGGGTATCCCAATATATCGATGTTATAGTATTCGTGTGAGCAATAAAATTTATCGACACGATATACCTACAAATGATCAGTAATGAAAAAGGTTCTAATAGAAAAAAAAGAAAAATATTAACATTTTTTGAAGATTTAATGTTTTTGGAGATGGTCAAGTTATAGATTTCGATTTTAACATAATAAAAGCACTACGCGCTCCTACAAGTTTTATCTCCTTTCCAACAAAAATAGAATTATTAAAATCGGTTCATAAATAACGGAGACGAACAAACAAAAACAAACATGTACGGTCGAATTGAGAGTGACTCTCCTTTTTGGAACTCTGTTAAAAATCATGTACAACATTATAAAATAAAAATGGTGATGAACCACCCGCACCTACCACAGACGGATGCACGCTGTGTGTGGTTAAAACGTTGATGTGTCTATGCAGTCTTAGTTAAACATTTATGAATTAAAATCAATCAGTCAAAAATCAATTTTCTGAACGATGATGACGAAAAATTATCGATACGAACCTATTTTACGAATGTGTCCCATCCCTAAATGAGTAGCGTCGAAGCTACTGGAATGTATTGTATATAACGTCACATAACGAACAAGTAGATATAAACTTGTGATGAAAATAAGGCCCTTTATAGTTTGCATTGAAGTAATGAAATGTGATATTTTCATTAAAATCAAATATATTTAAAATTAACAAAGGTTAATACTCAAAGATGATACGATACACCACCACCAGACACATTTTTTTTCTGCTTACTTTTTTGCAGTTGAAAACACAACAAGGCATAATTTCTAATATATTTCGTGTTTCTTAGGCTAAGAACTCACGGAGCGATTTTGAACCGTGCCCGCCGCGGTAGCAAAACTGCGGTTTTATTTCCAAACTCACGAGACCGGTTATTTGCGCGGTTACACAGCCGCCGCGGTTGCGATGATCGCTCACAAACGTGGCGGGCGATGATCGCAAGATTGCAAGACGGGCGGTTAACGATCAGTTGAGGTCCAGACCGCCATGGACACACACCAGAAACGAGCCGTTGCATTATATTTACTTCACAGAAGACCCGCCGGCCCCCGCGGTCGCTCGCCAACCGATCGCAAAGCGCGCGGGTGCCACCCACCGAGCATACAACAGCGTACACCGCGGGCGTAAAACGCGTCGTGAAATGTGCTTTAATTTTTTATATAAATATTTGAATTCTACAGAAGCTGCGGGCCCGCAACCGCAGCGGACGCGGGCGGAAATCGCTCCGTGAGTTCTTAGCCTTAGAACCATGACAACCAATCATGACAACGGATCGAACGATTCTGACAACGAATGTGCCAAAATGATGTAAATCTATACATCATGTTGACTAGCGCGCGATGTCTGAGCGGCACTTCCACTGTATTTTCTATTCCGTGGTCGTAAATATAAGACTATGGCGAAATGGGCTCGAAAATATTTGTCGGATTATTCCGAGGCGGTTAAAAGGTTACATATAAGCAATTATACTCGGAATTTTAATTCCATTCCAGATTTGACAATTTCAGTGTTGCAACGTTATGACACGTAATAAATAGTGACGTTGCGAAATTATTCGATATGGAGATCGAATATTTCTGAATCGATTTCTCTCGTTTATAAATTTACTCTTATAAACTAAGTTTATCAGGAAATAAAATATTTCTGAAAAGATAATTTAGTTTTGACAATTAATTAACGATCTGAGACTTTTCTTTTGTAATTGTGTGTGAAATTAATAAAAAATGTGATCATGAAGGAACGTGACAAATAAAACAGACATTTTATAAATTGTCGCCGTCATCGCTATCGCTATCGCCGTTACTCTATGTAACATTTATTATAAATTGTGTCTTTGATATTTATTGTCAATTAACATATCTAGCTTACTCATTTTTTCCTCTTCTTTGAAAACATGGGATACACATTTAGACCATTCGGTAGCCGTCATTTTTTGAATGCCGTCCTGAAACTGATTCACTGATTGTTTATCGATTTTTGTGTCCATCACTACACTGTTATATGTGGTATCATTATTTCACAAAATGACAGTGGTCAATGTCAAATCAGGAATCGAATTAAAAGTCTGACTATAGGTAGCAATTTTCTAATAACTCTCATAGACCAAAGCCACAGGCAACAAACCATTCTGACACACATCATTCTGACACACAATGGTGCGATCAGATTTTATTAATCCGATGTGACTCCTAAATCATCACCGACATGATGTCCGGAGAGAGATAGCATATCTAAACAGCAATTGAAATGGGATAGGTGCGAACAGGGATAGGTGAGTTAATAAAACCATTGCAAAATTTATGTTTATATTCAACAAACAAAAACAAAATATAACTTTAATCCAGACTCATAAATTAATACTAGAAAAATACTTATGATACGCTTTTTAGTTCCTGTTTCACCACTGGTTTAAAAGATCAGACCTTAGGTAGACTTACGGGTTACATTCTTTTTTAAACAATTACCAGAATTTTAAATTAACGGTGATCGACCATACGATTGATCACTTAACGCATTTAAGTCATTATGACTTATCTGTCGTATAGTTTGACAAATATGTCAGCAGTGGTGAAACAGGCCTTGTTATTATTATATTTACTTAAATTCCAGGCGGTGGTCCCGCGTCTTCGGGTGGCGCACCAGCATCCGGTGGTGCATCTTCCGGCCCTCCAGCGGCTGCCGGCGGTCCCTTTGTTGCGCCTGCTGCCAATGGTTCATCAACGACTACAACACCGTTATCGTTGGGGTCAAATAGATACGGTGCCCACAGCAACAGCGCAATGTATAAACAAATCAGGCAAATTATCACAGGGACAATGGAGTACTTTATCTGTAAATTAAAAAAATAACGATAATAGAAACGCTAATTGCTAAGCATCGGTCGAAAATCAAAATGCACCTGATCGATCTCCGATTCGGGTGTCATTACAGTTTTTGCAAAACAACAGTTTTTGTATAAAAACCACCCAGTTCTTCCTGCTCCAAGCCAGGATGAGCTCCAGCACGATCTTAAGACAGTGTGGAAGCAACGTCTCTCGCAACCAAGTGCTGAGCACGCTTTGTGGAGTGGCTTGAGAGACGCCTTGGCGTCCTCACCTTCCGCCGGCGCAGGTTGATGCAGGTGGGTTACCGACCACAACAGTATGGTGGATTTCTGTTTCGTATCCGGCGGGAGGAAACGCCCAAGTGTCTGTGAGGACCACCCTGATACTGATACGGTAGAGCATACGGTGGTGGTGTGCCCTGCTTGGGCTGAGCATCGCCGGGTCTTGGAGGCCATGATGCGGAGTGAAAGGAACTAAGAAACCGCCTACTCTACTGATGCTCTTAGAGGAGGTAGATCGCGTTAGGGAATTATCTTCCTCACTACAGCATGCGATGGAAAAGACATCAAATTGTCTTGTGGGAGAACCATGCTTCAGCATGAATAAGCTGAATCGGCCGTAGTAATCAGGTTTCACAGAAAACAGGCGTTAACAAGAGCTTGTGCTGTTTTGTCATTAAAATCAATTACAGAACTCCTCATTGTCACATCGTGCACACGTTATACATAGATACTTACGTAGCTCAGAATACAGAACAAACCAGAATCAGCGTTCACTCATAATTACATGTCGTCAAATGTGTCCAAAAACAATACGTCAATCCCCCCGCCAGCCGCACTTCCCACCCGCGTAGTGTTGCCGACAGTGGAACAATTCCCTTGGTTTGGGGTAATTTTACAACAGGAGGGTAAGATACGAGTAAACCCAACAAAATAGGTAAACTTACAATAAATGCAACAGACTAGTTGTTCACACATTTCATAGAGGTATCATAAAAGTTGACGATTTCTGGCTGTGTTAATTTTAGTTACACCTACTATACACAACAAATAAAATAAAGCTTCAATAAGTACAAAGGTTTTAATGCGTTCCCTTTTGCTGGTTTAGTTTTTTTAGTATGTCTTTAGACTCGGAACTAAAGATTAGAAGTCTACTTACTTTACTTAGTTCCTGAGATTAGCACATTCTAGCAAACAAACAAACAAACTCTTCAGCATTATAATTAGTATAGATATACATAATATTATATAAGTATCTTAGTAGGATACCTATGCTGTTTTCAAACCACCTTTGTCATAAATATATCTCTTCAAAGTGAATTGAGCAAACTATGCTCTGGCTAGATGGTTTCCAAAATTAATCTAACCGTGCCCTTTGTATGATTTGTATTTATTTTTTTGTCAGGGAAACTAATATGACATAGGCTCCATAATGAACAAAAATATAACCCACAACAAATAAATAAGTGGGTAAAATGTTCACCAAGAATGACAACACTCACAAAATGGTCGCATCATTTTCATAGAAAAATAAATCGATAAAAAAAATTCAATAATTAATTAAATATACTATTGCAGTCGATGCTTGCAGATGAAATGTAATCTTATCCACTTTTTTCGTAATTCCAGTCGCATTTTTACTCGTAGTGATAACACAAGACGGCATAGTGAAATTAAAATTGATACTCGTAAATACGTCACGACATGCCAAAATTGAATAATCGTAGAAATTTCATACTATTCTAGTTGAGAATGGTTTTAGTTGCTTTAGTTTGAAGCGCGATGACGCCTTCTGGTTTGTTCTGTATTCTGAGTTACGTAGTATAAAAAATACATTACAATGTTAATCAATACTAATCTATACTAATTTTATAAATGCGAAATGAATGTCTATCTGTCTGTCTGTCTGTCTTTTGTCTACTGCACCGATTTCTGTGAAATTTCGTACAGACGTACTTTGAAACTCCAGAAAAGACAAATATACAAAAAATCTGCAGGCGCGAACGGAGTCTCCGGCCAAAGCTAGTTATTAATAAAAATGAAATATATAAGTAGTTATTTACCATTTTTTTAATAGGCACTTTGCCAGTATGATGGCAAAAGTAAGCTGGGGTATACCGAAAAGGTAGGCAGAATCCGAAAGAACATGCAACTCCTACGCCCAAGGCTGCAATATAAACCTTGCTTGGCCAGGGAATAGCAGCATCTACCGACTGTAACAATAAAAATAATCATTTTTATAATTTAGACCATAAAAAGTATAGCTGAAACTTAAGAGTTGAAGTGTGGGAGAGCCACGATTTCTCTAACGAACTGTTATAAACGGACGTTGTAATGCATCAAATGCTGACTTAGGTGAAAACCCCGCCGCTTCCATATTGTCACCGATATTATAAAAAACGATTATCCATGTGCTAGAGTCAGTCAGTCATAGCCATTTCGCAGTACATACTGTACATCCAGTGTCGGAGTTCACTTCTTGTGTTGCGTAACCAGTGTGTCTTGTGGAATGTAACCTTTCTTAATTAAACATTATTTTAGCAGAAACAAGTGTTTTTTTAAAAAAAGGACCCACGGATCGTCATCCTAACAGAACTAAGCTTCGGCACGATAGGGTTGGGTCGACAGGATTGGTACCACGGCCTCACATGAAACCGACGTGAAACAACAACAGTGTTGTGTTTCGCAGCGTAAGTGAGGTTTCCAGAAGCCTACTCCAATCCCTTCCCAAGCCCTAAATCTCCAAAACCCTAATCCCTAAAAGCTCGACAACGCACTCGTAACTCCTCCGTTGCGTGTGTCCATGGGCGGCGCTGATAGCTTACATCAAGTAATCCTTCTTCTCGTTTGCCTAACTATTACAAAAACTGATTATGATGTAAAACAAAACAAGAGCTATAAATGTCAAGAGATATATTTGTCTATCTCTCCTTCACACCTAAACGACTGAACCGATTTGGATAAAATTTAGTAGACATACAAGTAGTTTGAAACTCGAAAAAGGGATTAGGATAGTTTTTATCCCGGGAATTCAATAGGAGAACTACCCGACAGTCCTACGAGATCGGAAAGTATGTACATTTGCTAGAAGTCACCGTTTCACGTGGACGAAATCGCTGGAAGCTAGTTCGAAATAAGTTTGTTTGAAAAATTAACATTTTGTTCGCGTTTGTTTGTCTAGGTAAGAAACAGGATACCTAAGTTAATATCAAAGTCATACAAATAAACATCATAATATACATTCATCATAATCATACATACTCGTTATTATAGTTATACTTTCGTCTAGCTATTTCAGTTAGGGCTAATTTTTCAGTGGTTTGTTATAAGTTACCTGGAGAATAATTGTGATGATGTCGCGTTAGAAAACGTTTTGTAACTTTAAATTCACCTTTATTGAAGCCATTTGATAATTCTGGGCTTCAAAAAAGCCTTTAATATAAAAAGAAATACTAACACAACATAACACATATGGGATCCATATTGAACAAGCAGCAACTGCAGTGGTTATATTGGCAAGAATTGTAGCGGCTATTAAAACAATTAATATCCCGACATTCCAACTCTTTTCAGTTATAAATGTTCCCGAATTTTCTGCTATCTCTTTATCTAAACCCGTAAGTCTGGCGGCTTTCACCAAGGCATGAGTAGCTCCTGAAAATAAAAATAATTAGACAACAAGGTTAATTTTATTACACCAGGGATACCCGAACAAATGTATCAAAATTATTTTGTCGATGTGACTTATTGATGACCTTCAGAAATCTGGGTTTTGTTTCTTAAGTGATAAGTACAGTCAGCTCCAAAAGTCGATGAACAGAATCAAATTAACAAAACACCTGTTCACAATAAAATGCCATAAGTTATAGTCGCAACTAGGAAACAAAATTGCCTGTACACCAAAAATTTACAAAAGATGGTAAACACGACTAATTCAAAAGTATCTGTGCACTATAGTATTCCTAAAGTCGCTGTACACCATCAATCCAAATGTCGCTGAAAATCATTGTATCAAAAGTCACTAAACAGCAGTAAAGACAAAATTAGGTTAACAAAGTATATTTTTAATGTTGCCGTGTGATAATTTAATTTTGACGCTTATGTTGTTCAACTACTTTTAGGACAGTGCTCGCTAGTCCTTAATAATGCATATATTATATAACACGTTAGTATCCATTTAAATACTTATTTACAAATCAATTATATTTTTAACAGACTTCAAAAATTGAGGAGGTTCGCAACTCGTCGGGATCTTTTTTTTATATTATATAAATATTTTTTTATGGATGTTCACCGATTACTCGAAGACGCCTGGACCGATATGGAAAATTGTTTTTTGTTCAGTAGGGTATGATTACCAGGTGGTCCCATGATCACCAGGTCAAGATCTGATGATAGAATCCTATCCTAAACATGCCCTCGATTTTTCTAGAGGGGAAATTTATATATTATATTTTCTGAAGTTATTCAGGTATTTAGGTACGTCAACTTGTCGATAGTTGAACTCGACTTGATGATGAAGCCGAAAGACAGTCGAGGGATCTCCTTGACTATTTGGACTAATTGCCTTGTGTTTGGGCTTGAATAATTCGTCTTGGTGAGCACTTTGAACCAAGACTGGTAGTGACTGTCATTAGGGGTATAATGATGACAACGAAGGACAGCTCAGGGAACTCCTGAACGGTTTACAGTAACTACCTCGTGTTTGGGCTTAATTTATTTATATCAATAAAAACTTCACACCTACATGAGTTACAATGAAGTTATGCAGTAAATCTGATGATTGAGCCGGAAGACCGTCGAGGGATCTCTTTGACTATTTGGAGTAATTATGTTGTGTTTGGGCTTGAATGATTTGTATTGGTGAGCACTTTGCACCTATATGGATTATGTTAGCATATTGAAGGTCTACAGTATACATGATGATAGAGACCATTGACAGTCGAGGGAATTCCTCAACGATTTACAGCACTGAACACTGACTAATTAAGGACTACTACTATTTCCGTGATTTTCGGTCTCAAGTAGCCGTCGTCTTCTCATTCGAAAAGCATTATCCTTGCTTGCTCTGCCTATCACTTGAAATGGTGAAATAAAATAATTTTTAACGAAAAAACAACCGACTTCGAAAAGAAAACTGAAAAGCAAAAAAAAATTTTTCTGTGTACAAAGCAATACATGTGTTCATTTAGGTAAATATAAATTAATATTAATAACTATTTTTATAATTTCGGAGTCGGTGCCAAGTAAAAGTGCCAGGTGCCAAGTAAAACAATGATGAAAATGATGAATATTAGAGTCATGTTTATGTTATTTCATATTATATAAATATTAGTATAATTACTGACAATATGAATTAAGTTCAAACACGAAATAGTAAGTATAAGCCGTTCAGGAGTTCCCTGAGCTGCCCTTCGTTCTCATCATCAGAATCTTAATGACAGTTACGACCAAGCCCGGTACAAAGTGCTCGCCAATAGGAATCATTCAAGCCCAAACACAATGTAACTACTCCAAATAGTCAAGGAGATCCCTCGACTGTCTTCCAGCTCCAACACCAGGTCGACCTTAATCAAGTTATAGTGTTGTAAAAGACCTACTTAAACATCATAGAAAAGAACTACTCGTCCCTACCAATATTGAAAGTTCCCATCGATTTCTCCAGAATTCCATCATCAGATCCTGACCTCATAATAATGGGACCAACTGGCAAGTTAGGCAAGTAAGTAAAAAAACGTTGCCTCACTTTATGATTTTCTCCTGTGTTGTGGGTGCGTTTACAAACATACAATGTCACATACATATGACACCCAGACCCGAAACAACAATTTGTGGATCACACAAAGTGTTGTTCCGTGCGGGAATCGAAACCGCGACACGTTGCACGGCAGCCAGTTGCCCAGCCACCGCAACAACCGTGCAGTCAAAGTATACCCTATCAAATAAAAAAAGAATTTTGCAAATCGGTCTAGGCGTCTTCGAGTAATCGGTGTACATACATAAAAAAATACGCATCGAATTGAGAACCTCCTCCTTTTTTGAATTCGGTTAAAAATATAATTGATTTGTAAATAAGTATTGAAATGGATACTAACGTGTTATATAATATATACATTATTAAGGTCTAGCGAGCACTGTCCCAAAAGTAGCTAAACAACATAAGCGTCAAAATTATATTAACACAGGGCAACATTAAAAATATACTTTGTCAACCTAATTTTGTCTTTACTGCTGTTTAGTGACTTTTGATACAATGATGTTCAGCGACATTTGGATTGATGGTGTACAGCGACTTTAGGAATACTATAGTGCACAGATACTTTTGAATTAGTCGTGTTTACCGACTTTTGTAAATTTTTGGTGTACAGGCTATTTTGTTTCCTTGTTCAGTTGCGACTATAACTTATGGCATTTTATTGTGAACAGGTGTTCTGTTAAGTTGATTCTGTTCATCGACTTTTGGAGCTGACTGTACGATACTAATTAGCTAGTAGATTTAAGCGCAAATCGCAACTATAGTCCATTTACGTAAAAGATAAAATTTTCTTGAACATAAATGAACATAGTAATTGACCAGTATATTCGGCTCCAAACTGTGCCTGAATTTGCATGTTGATAAAACCATCACCAAAGTTTACTTATTACTCTGAATACGTGTACTAACTTAGGCTTTCTTTCAACGTTTGTAATAGCTGTTTTTAATATTTTTTTTTCTAGGTACTCACTTGGTAAGCCCATTCCTTGTACACATGTACAACCTATTATTTAACTGGTTTCATATATACACACTTTCTGAAATGTTATAATTATGCACATAATAATAAAAACTGTGATGAAAAAAATTAATACATATAATTACCAAAAACGAAAATATATCCATAGTTAACATTACTATCAACAAATTTCCACCATAGTATAGCTGATTCTGCTTTCAGGGGTGGTAGTTCACTTTTCTCTGAAATTATAACAAAGACAAGTCAGTAAAAAACATTTTCAAACGTGGCATCACTTAGATCGTCGGTGCGTTTACATGCATGCAATACACATACATATCACACACAGACTCGAAATAACAATTGTGGTTCACACAAAAGAGTTGTTCGGTGCGGGAATCGAATCGTCGATACGGCAGCTGGTCGCCCAGCCACCGCGTCTAATAAGCAGTCGAACTGTAATAAATTATAAATAGTCTATTCAACTTAGGGTAGCGACGGAGGGATTTAAGCATTTTTTGTTGGCCCATAGAGTAATGTATGTATAAAAAAATATCAATAAAGTTAATACATTTATGTAGTACTAGCTACTCTCGCGCGGTTTCACCCGCTGCTCCATTTGATCGTAGCGTGATGTTTTATAGCCTATAGCTCTCAGGAAAATAGAAGCTATCTACCAGTGAAAGAATTTTGGCAATCCGACCAGCGGTTCTAACGATTAACCCCTACATACGAACTTACAAATTTTACCACTTTATAATATTAATATATATAATCATTTTCACTTACTATCAGCATCTAAGTATTCAACAAATCTGTAACTTTTAGGTATAATGTGTAGAACTATAAGAAAGATAGCTGCGACAGTTGTATCTTTAACCCTGAAAAAATTTACAAATCTTAGCATAATGGTACTTATATACCTAATATACACAATATAAAGTGTATTTACCTGCCAACTACAAAATGTCATGACGTAATATCGATTAAGAGTCTAAGTTGAGAGCTCAAAATGAGTATTTCTCTGCTTCATTTTATTTGAGGAATAATACATTATATTAAAAATTACCTAAGAAACAGTTAGGGCCAAGTCAAAAAAGTAAAGTTAGAAAACAATTGATCGTCGATGAATGTTCCGTAATCATTTCTTTAGGAATAATTGTAGGAATATAACGGCGTGAAACAACGCTTAGGTTTTGCTTCGCTATTTCCTTTTTCTTTTAAGGTATTTTCGTCGAAGTAGAAGTAAGCCAACAGAAATGCTTTCTCGTCGAAATCCTATGGCTATGGCTATAGGCTATGTTTTTGATTGTATCATGTGAGCACCGTTAACGTCGCGTTCAGCGGACGTTAATACTTGCTACGCGATGACGCAACGTCAACGTCACGTTTGCGCGGCGTTGACGCTGCGCAAACACGACGTAAACGTCAACGCTAGTAAAACGCCAATGAGATAGCGGCCTTACACAAGGGCGCGCCGGGGGGTGCGGGCCCCGCTACTTCCGCGACGATGGGCGGGCTACCCGCTGCGCGAAGTTTACTGGACATCCAAATAACGGCCATTTCAATCAGTCACGTACCTTGGAATTTCTGGAGAATCCTTGTCTCTTCGGAACTCAGACCATCCATCCACCCATTGATTCCAACGAAAGAAAAACGCTACTATGATGAGAATTAAAGATATTACCGAGAGCTGAAAATAAAAAAAAATGAAATTACGTTCAAAAACGGCGGCCTTATATTGTGACAACAATATGGTTGCTTCAATTATCTTTTCAAAAGACATCCACTTTTTTACCTATTTTTACGTTTATACTGAACAAAACAAGATTTCAAAATGTAGCTCAGGTGGATTTTTCTTATTCGAAAAATTCGTTATAATAAATAGTTTTGACTATAATTAGTTTTGACTCGGCGTCAAATATTTAAAGGTACCTACATATGTGGTTCTAGAACTACTTATAAAATAGTACTGCAATTAAGCAAGCAAATGTTACCCTTTCATGCAAGCTGACTTTACGAGGTATTTCCTTTTTGGTGTTCAGTAAGATAGACCTTAATTCTTCCATCTTCACTGCAGACATACCCCGAGACAAGGACCTGTTTCAATTTTAATATAATATATATATATCAATTATGAATAAATATAAAATCGAATCGATCTGTCGAGTCAGTACGACCGTTCCGACATTGGCTTGGCACCTTAAATTTATACTAATATTATAAAGAGGTAAAATTTGTAAGTTTGTATGTAGGGGGTAATCTTCGGAACCGCTGGCCGGATTTCGTAAATTCACTAATAGATAGCTATAATGTTCCTGACTGCCATAGGCAATATATAAAACATCACACTACTATCAAAGGTAGCCTAGTTGCGAGTGGAACTGAGCGAGAATGGCTAGTTGTATACCGTACACTTAGTTGCTGCTTTTTTCACGTTTTAAAGTCACCATCCTGGTAGGGCACAGGACGTTTACAAATATACATATATTATAGCACCTAGACCCAGGACAGTGGATTTTTGTGGATTACACGGTTTTTCTGTTGGTAATCGGAGCCTTTGCGCGACAGCTGGTAATAGCCACTTCCTCAAATCAAGCAGTCGATTAGACGAATTTATTGAGGAATAATGATCAATCGATCAATCAAAACTTCAGATTATTTTGATTATTGAACAAATTCGGTTTCCCGTCGCGTTTTTTGGCCATCGTTTTACGCAAAAGCCTTTCCAACCCTATCACGTAGATGGTTGGCAGACAACGACTGTGCGATTTACGCGAGACTTTCTGCCCGCACAGCAAAACTTTGAAATGATCTTTCGGCGGCGGTATTTTCGACCCAATACGAAACCTTCGAGAAACGAGCCTCCGTCTGTCTCTGGTTTCACCACCAATCACTTACAATCAGGTGAACAGTCGGTTCGTTTGCCTCCTATTCCTTAAAAAAATACTATAACATATTTCCTTTTTAATACTTACCAGTTTATTAGCATCATGTGGTAGGAAACATTGATAAGAAACATTATGAAGGACAGTGGAAAAGCAAAGGCTGAATATTGTAGATAATTAAATATATCTGGATACTCTTTACTTTTAGGTGCGAACCTGTAAACATATAAGTAATGTTTATTTTCATTACATTCCCATTTTAATATGTTTACAAATACCATTTGTTAGATATTTGATTAGAAAAAATAAACAAGATTTCTATTAATTTATGTCAAAATATAACTAACTTTATTATTAATATAGTTTCCACTTGATTATTATTTACAGTCGTATAAATTTTACTTAATATATTTTACTCATTTTAAGCAATGTATTTTTTAACATTTTTTATAACGAATATGTAGAAAGCGACATCTCATTTTTAAGCAGCGTATTCCTATTTTACGCGCTTATATAGATGTCGCTACGTGATATTTTTCACAAATGCCAAATAATCAGTGGAAGTCGTCGAATGCAGCAAATTTGGTAAGGAGAAAGCATTTAATTTTTTTTATGTACTTACTCTGCAAATGCTCCTCTAAAAAGGACTGTCACAAATGAGCTATGAAAGAATGCAATGCTACCTGTAATAAAAAATAAACCACTAGGGTATAACAGTTGATATCCAGTAGTGAAAGATTTTAAGAAGAAAGTATATTAATTACTTATTCTTTATAATTTTGGCTTTCAAAATATCAAGTAGGTACCGCCGGACGTCGGTACCGGACATGATCGGCATTATATAGGTACTCATAATAACCATTAAGCATATACTGAGTATATACTACGGAAAACAGACAATAAGAACTAGGAATAAGGAATAAATGCGGGAGGGCCATGCTTCCGCAGGAATGGGTCGGCTCGACCAGACTCCATAGCCTCACAGAAAATCGGTGTAAACAACCAAAGCGTCGTTGTGTTTTGCTGTGTGAGTAAGGTTACCGGAGGCCCAATCCCTCCTTAGCTCTCCATCCCTTCCAAATCTTTAAATATTTTATTTTATTTTTATTTTTATAAATCTGCAGTCCAGTTATAACTGTACACAACATTTATAAAAAAAACAATACAATTTGCTTCATCACATAGAGTTACAAATACAAATTACGTTTTCTAATTGTGCCGACACAGAAAATTTTTAAAGACATTAAAACTTCTGTGGCATTATCAGTTTGAGAGCATAATGGAGTTATATTCACTGCATATTCTTATGATCGGGTTGTTTCGAGAAACATTGTTGTTACTGGTCGGTAAAGTAAATTGTTGAGGGGTACGCACAGACCCGTTGGTATCTTAAAATGTATGTGTTCAAGAAGTTGGCAGTCCAGTATATCCGAAACCCTTATGACCTAAAAGGCTCGGAACGGTGTCCATGAGCGGCGCTAATTGCTTACCATCAGGTAATGCGTCTGCTCGTTGGCCGAAAAATTTAAAACTAGGAAAATAAATGGCTTACCTATTCCTGAGGATGTTTGAATCGCGTTGTTTATTATGTAACGCATGGTACTGAAATTGGGATTGTTTTCATCTTTTTTACCAGTCTGAAACATAATTCGTGTACATTTTAGATGCTATTTCTACATTTCATTTTAAATCTTGGTAAACATGAACATAAATGTACATACACATCGCACCTGTAACAACCATTTGTAGACCACAAAAGAGTTGTTACTTGCCAAAGTCGAACCTTGACAACTCGGAACAACTCTGTGTGATCCATAAATTGTTGTTCCTGGCCCGGGTGTGATGTGTATGTACACGCAACTGCGACACAGGAGTAAAATTGAAGATTGGAGCCAAGTTAAAAAAAAAACAAATACAAAACTTAATGTTGTGTGTGCATTATTTTAATTTGCTTACATTGGATATAATATTCCTTCCAAAATTATTTTCTGTGTAAATCAGGAAAAAAAAACTTTCTTACCAAATTAAATCGATTGAAGTCTTAAACTGAAGATAGATAATATTGTTAGCTATTTAAATTTGTGTTTATTGGAAATAACTGCACGGATTCAAATTATTCAGCTGTATAAAGCAACTTTGACCATTAAAAAAAGGATAATTATGTTCGTACTTATATAAACTTTAAATGCTTACTTCCAGTTTCATCACAGCGTTAGTCACTATTTGAGTCAAGGTTGATGACACTATAAGCCGACTGCTAAATATGGACAGGAAATAAGCAGCTATGCTGCATTTGAAGACCAATCTGAAAACAAAAACATGGTTAATGAAATTTCGATAGATACTACTTGGTGTTTCATTGTAACTATACACACATCTCCATGAAGGATATTTTTACTGTAGACAGGCAAAATCGTGGCACATCAGCATATCTTTGAAAAAGTTGGCGAATATTTAAAAAAATGAGCTATTCTTTTTTCAAATAATTGCCGACTTTCTTCACGTACATAATATTTTCAAAACTGACAAAGCACCCTTAATATCCTTTTTAATAAATAGTTCAATAGTTTAGTTCTCACAGAGGTTCGGGATGGTGCAAGTTATATTTTATTAGGATATCCGAATAGCTAAGATGGGATAGCCCGGTTTTTTCCGCGATCTTACAGCATAATGCTGTGAAAATAGCTAAAATAGACAAAGGCAGAACCTAAGAGAACGCAAAATATTTGTCTGGTAATGTCAGCCAAGAAGTTAATATTTTCACGCTAGCTAAAGAAAGATTTATAGATACCACATAAAACGTAGCTGTTCATATTAATTAGTTCATAACAGCCTTGGTCATTCTCCTTTTTAAATAAAATAAAGATTTACATAATTGCCAAATTATGATTTCATACCTTTTTCCAGAAAATTGGCATGCGTCGCCAGAGCAAACGAGCCACAAACATAAACGTCGATCAATGCCAGAATTGTTAAGTACTACTAATATCATTGAAGCTATTACGAATAGCAACACATATTCCTGAAAAAAATATATTTTATTTTATGTTGTCCAAGCAGTCATAGCTATGTATGGGCAACGAAACTAATTTGACACAACAGAAAACAATATTTTTAAATCAGAAAAAAATAGTCTGTTCTTACCAGCGAGTTTGTGTTTCGTACGATCCATTAAACAAATTCGTAACATTAAATTAGCTGACACTGTTGATGTGAAATTTTACTAAGTGCACCATCTATTACTTACTCTTTAAACTAATTTCGCTATATTAAAATGAGTACCTGCTAAAGAAATTTTTCTAATTGATTTAAGCTAAAATAAAAAATGATTCAACTTACCGTCATATAACATTTACAAGTGTCAACAGTAGACATTACTCCGGACATTGGTAGAAGAAATATTGGAATAAATCCGACTGCAGGAATTGACACTGGCTGGACTAGGTAGAACCATGTCATTAACATCCACATCAGCTTCACCTTCACTTTATTCTAAAAGAAAATTAAAAGATTTTTCGTAGAAATCGGAAGCGTTTATATACGATCGAATACCCCCAATTTTGTATTAAATACAGTTCCTTAGTGATGGGCATTTAAGAATGCCGAGCATTATGAATGCTGAGCTAAGGCTCAAGCAAATTATTATATTACTAGCTTCAGCCAGCGGCTTCGCCCACGTGCCATGTTGATAAAAAAAGCCTAGAGCAATAGAACAAAATGGAAGTATACATAAATTTGTTATGTCTCATTTTATTTTTACATCTCCAATGGGTAAAAATCCTATTAGGTACTTACTAAGTCTCCGCTATCCGTCCGTTCATAGATAGCATAGCATGGTGCGGATCTAACTAATAGGTAAGTATTACAAATATTTCAAAAAACCTATTATATTATATTTTATACAAAAATAATCCTTATCTCATGATTCAGTGTTCACATGCGACCGCGCGATGGCTTATTATCCGAACCGCTAAGCTATCGGGAGTTACACGTGCTATTGTAAGTTTACTTTAAAAGATATACATAAACCATTAAGGCTACCCACGCGACAGGAACTTAAAAAACGGAGTAACTTCTCCCGTTTTCCCAACATTTCCCTTCACTGCCCTGCTCCTATTATTTGTAGCGTGAATGAAAATGAAAAGTATCCTAAAACCTGCCCGGGGCCCGGGAGTACAAAGAATAATTGTACCAAGCTTTGTTAAAAACACGCGTTCACAATGAGTTTACAAGTAGTTTAAATCCATTTTCTAAAAGGCAGACTCGGGTGAATGTCCACGGGTAACGCAGATTGATTACCTACTCATCTGCTCGTATTTCCCTCATAACACATAAAACTCTTACATACTTACGTTAGAAGTCCAGGCTCCGGGTTTGCCAAAGGGCAATGGAACGTAGCCTGTTAGGCATAAATGGGACTGGGCGGGAACACGTCAGCCGAATGCATCCGGAGAGATGGGCCACTATTGTCACCCAGTGGACACCTCAGGATGGAAGCCGCAGGCGGGGTAGGCCCCGGAAAAGATGGCGCGACGATCTAGACGCCTATCGTCGAGACTGGTGGACACGGTCGAAGGATAGGGAGGTGTGGAAGCGAGATGGGGAGGCCTTTGCCCAGCAGTGGGACAATATAGGCTAGTAAAAAAAAATACTTACGTTATCTTTGCTGATTTGCCATGATAACGCGGCCAGCGGTACCAACACACCGATTAAACCTCTAAAGTTGTTGTTTATTGCATTGGTGATTCTCTCTCCAAATCCTCCTACCGGTGTTTTCGGCGGGGGCTTTCTGCTACTGTAAATTATTTTTAAAAAATGAGCAAGTTGCTTAGGTACATGACTATCAACTACTACTTGTACTACATAAATCTTTTTACTAAATGTAACAGTAATATTTTGTATTGCTGTAATGGTTAGCGTCTCTTCTGGATATCTGGTAAAAGTGTTAGTGATACCCAATAAAAGTGTGAAGTACCAGAATTATAGTCAGAATTTTAATTCGATTCCAGATTTGACATCAGCTACTGACATTTTGTGAAATAATGATACCACATATGTAGTGATGAATACAAAAATCGATAAACAATCAGTGAATCAGTTTCAGGAAAGCATTCAAAAAGTTAGGGCTACCGAATGGGCTACTTGCGTATCCCCTGTTGTCAAAGAAGAGGAAAAAATGAGTAAGCTAGAGATATGTTCATGAACACATTTTTTTATTTTTCACACACAATTATAAAAGAAAAGCGTCAGATCGTTAAATGTCAAAACTAAATTATAGGTTCAGAAATATTTAATTTCCTGATTAACTTAGTTTGCGAGAGTAAATTTATAAACGACAGCAAATCGATTCGGAAATATTCCATTTCCATATCGAATAATTTCACAACGTCACTATCTAGTACTTGCTATAACGTTGCAACCCTGAAATTGTCAAATCTGGAATCCAATTAAAATTCAGAGTATAGACACATTTCTTTATCTAGCGATATGTGAAACGGAATGAATGAATAATGAAATAAAACCCAGCCATTTCAAGCATTGCTATAAATTTAAAAATGTGCTTTATGTTTATCATAATTTGAGATTTATACTAAAATCAAGTTTCAAAGTAATGTAAGGGTTGGATACATTGTTTTAAGTAGTTTATAGGGCTTTAATTCTTAGTAGCATTTTCAAATGTTTATACTCTCATATTATTTATACTAATTTAATTAAGTAATAAGTGATAAAATACTTACAATGGATTTGGCAAATAGCTGAAAATAAAAAACACAAAATTAGTGTCTAGTGGATGTATAAAGTACCTATTATAACCTATAAAATATGCACGCACTACACGCGTGCATATTTCAAAACAATAAAGGTATTTTTCATATACGTAACAAAACGTACAAATTCTCATACCTATTCACACTCAGGCTTGACTCAACAACTTGGTAATAAAGAGGTGTTCCTAGGGGGTTGGTTGGTTAGCTAAAGATAGAAATGTAAAATGGGCAATGACACCGCGACCCTGGCCACGGCCATAATGAAGAAATGTCGTCCTTAACCCACTGTGATTTTAGCTAGTAAGAGCCCCTCTGTCGTTACCAATATGTGAAAAGCCCATGAGGATTTTCATAGAGTTAAAAAGCAAATACTGATGACATCCAATCAGTCAACGCTCCATCTAATCGAAATTTTTTTCTCAGTTTATCGTTATGCTTCCTGAGGTTAAAACTTTATTAATTTAACTTGATATTTCAGAATCAAGTCTGTATTCTGTCACTTATACAAAGCCAGCGTTGTTATTTAGGGTAACCTCTCAACATACAACAATTTTTAGAAGCTATTAAGATAGGAATCGACAACAACGTTAACTAATAGTAGGTACGTTTAATCAGAGCAACTTACTCTTGAAGTGGTTTTCTGAAACAGAAAAATAATACATTTTGTTATATTAAACTGATTTTACGCTGTTTGTGTCCACAACAACATACGTAGAGTAAAAAAATGCCTTGGAGCTCCCTTCATGGCGTTGGTAGCGAGATGGATCTCACCATAGTTTTGATACAATTCGTATAAACGTTGGTAATAGTTTGGTCTACAATATAATTAAATAATGTTGGTTCTAAAATCAATTCAAAAGTGGTAGTAATAAAGTATAGAACCAGCAAAGTGCAACATCTCGAATTTAATGAACAATAGGAAGTATGTCTAATCCAAGTCTTATCCAAGAGGGTCTCAGATTCAACGAAAACAGAAGACTCCGTTTACATATTTCTAAATTTTGAGAGATAAATTGTAAGAAATTAGGATGAGGCCCAATCCTTCCCCTTCCCAATCCCTCCCCAGTTCCTAAATCTCCAAATCCCTAATCCCTAATCCCTTAAAGGTCGGCAACGCACTCGTAACTCCTCCGTTGCGGGTGTCCATGGGCGGCGCTGATTGCTTACCATCGGGTAATTCGTCTGCCCGTTTGCCGACCCATTACATAAAAAAAGGTAAATTATTTCAATTTATTTAAAAAAAAAAACATTCTCTAATTAAACTACAACCTACCACCCCAGCTTTGCTTCGACCAGCAATCCAGGTAGGTCTATCAAGTTATTCCATCAAGTGTGCATAAATATTTAACCAAACCTTGTATCGAACCAAACGGAATACAGTAAAAATGGATTAATAAAAATCGATACAGACATTCTAGAGTTATGCCCCTACAAGTAAACATTATACTTTTTGGATTTTTTTTTCATATACAGAATTAAGGTACGTACCTTGGTGGAGGAGATTGTGTTTTTCTGTGGATTCAAATACATCACAATTAGTTACAGTTAATTCAAATCAATTGGTTAAGTATTTAATTTTTTTTTTGGTCTATGGTAGGTACCGCTAAGCTATAATATTCGAAAATAATCAATTTATAAATCAAAATCAAATCTAAATTCAAATAACGCTAATCCACCCCTAAGGCTGGGCACTGACCCAAAATTATTGAATACTAGTTTCAGCCCGCGGCTTTGCACTCGTATAAAAGTAATTTATCCCGAGACTTTAATAACAGCAGCGTTTAAAGCGAAATCGAAGAGAAAGACAAATACGCACGCACTCGGGAACATTGTAGCTATCTATCAGAGTAAACATTTTTGGAAATCCGACCATCGGTTCCAAACGTAGGTTCCCCTACATACAAACTTACAACATGAATACTTTTAGAACAAAACTAAAAAGATCAGGAGGTTGTTTATGACAGGGCATTGTCTTGTTCTGCGTGCCTGATATTTAATCATGCAATGTAAGTATAGCGACATCTATCGCACACACGCAATAATGTGACGACTCACATAGATGGAGAACAATTCAATAGATGGCGTAACAGATTCTACATCGCGGTATAAGAGTTCTCAACACAATTAGCGCCCATACAAAAATCCCGACAACACCCGACTGGTCGGAGGATCCTCCCTTTTCAATGGAGGCTGAGGACCTTTCCACCCTGTTCTCTCATACCTCTAAATAAGTATTAATGTTATAATATGCTACATAATATGTAACAAACATTGTAGCGTGTTTTTTATAATTATTCAACAAAATTAAAATAGTGATTACTTACGGAGCCATGATATTTTCTTATTCTTTTAGAAATTCCAGTCACTACATTTGTCTTTTCAACCTGTCACAGCACCGCATACAAAAAGGGAATGTTTCGAAAAACAAAATAAAACTGACACTTATATTACTTAAGTGGCCAGTATCTTTTGCATTAAAAGATTTATTTGTTTGAGTTTTTATTTGACTTAGGTTTTAGTAGGTAAAACTATGGAAATATGATAAAATTACCATAGAGTTACCAGTAAGAGTTAAGTAAACTCAAAGAAAATTTGAACAGAATGTAGACATTTGAGAAACTATAAATGCGTGTTTGTTTTAGCATTTATTTAATACATGAAAATTTCAATTTTGCTTTGGAATAATTTGTCTATGAACGATTCCATTGAATAGGTATTTCGCTTTGATAATATTCGTCTATGCCTATTATTATTATTCTAATAATCTTATTATTTTACGTGTATTATTAATATTCTGTCTTATGTTTCTCGATAAAACGTACAGAGCTAGGCCTGGCACAATAAATCTTTCTTTCCAATCAAGGTAACCTTCTCACGGGGTATTTTTAAATGTGTTGTGTTGGCATAATTACTTCTCATAATACGTTGTTTCCCTTATATAATAAGAAATAAAAAATAGACAAATGGCAGTGTTTATTTAAGGAATTATAACAATTAAAAATTTCATAACACAATTCACGTATGCACCTATATACGTTCATAAATTCGAAAGACACTTCTTAACTGTATCCGGCTAAGTTCGAACTCTAACTATTTAGCACATAGCACGTGATTAAAATCGTCACTTATCACTTCTCGATATGCTTTATATTCGGGGTGGTAAAACCCAAGTTCTTGGATCAGACCGGTGTAGTTCTACGGTACGGGTCGGTGCCTACAGCGCGGTCGTGGCGTGGCGGCGCTTGTTCCTCGCCACCTCTCGCTCCCGCACCGAAAGTCACCATCTCCTCTTCCCGCGAAGGCGGAGGCTCCACGGCCGACGTGTCCAAGAAGCGGCCGCTCGCCACTGATGCCTGTGATTGAAATATTGATGCACTCCTCAACCCGCTTAAGGTATTTGCACTTTGAGGCACCTCTTTGAATTCCTCAAAGTAATTGTCACAAGCTGTCGGTCGTGGTGCTGCCGGGAATCCGTACAGCGTTGACGACGACAAGTCTTTCAATGATGCTGAACTTAAATTTATTCTCCTATTTTTATTATGTATTGAACAGTGTGGCATTTCATCCCCGTCAAACACGAATCGTCTTCGCTCGCGAGGCGTTGCAGCTGACGACCCTGAGGGGGGATACGTGTCTCTTTTCATCATTCGCCTCTCTAAAAGCGTGGAATCTCGTTCTCTAAACTCTGTGAAGGCGTATTCGCGATCCCACGCTCTACAATCAGCTTTGGCTTTCTCAGTTAGCTCTGTTATCCAATCCTTTTGATACCACTGTAGGAACAGGAATATAGCTGATGTGCCAGCTAGCTCTGCTGCCACAAAGCCGCTTATGTACAGTCCAAACGAATAGCCGTAACTATATGACATCCTTGGTGTATCGAAATATGTCATGTAGCGCAATTTGTGGCCCACTTGTGATTTAAATACAGATATGTACATGACGATTCCGGTCAGCATGATTAAACCTGAAATTAGAAAAATTAAAATATGTAAGAATTTACAACAGGTTTACAATAATTTATGTTTATTTGTGGTGTTTTGACACCACCATAATGGTTGAGCATGGAAAAGTTTATTAGTTATAAGCATTATTGAACATCTATAATGTCGTATGTTCGGTATTAGTTGTAGTATATTTGATAGAAATCCGTGAAAAAACCCGAGAATTCTTGCAGGGCAGTTGCAAATTTACTAACACAACTCAGTCGACAACGCACGGGGAATAATGGTAATTATTACAAACTTGTTAACTTGCTTACCAGAAATAATAAACAGGACTCCAGCTATGAATGTGCATAGTCGTCGCCCTTTGACACAGTGGCCCAATACGCAGCACAGAGCCCCTACGGCTTGAGTGAACACTGCTAGGAGGAGCGGGGCTGCAGACCGCGTTACAACATCTGAAAAGTACGAACATACTGTTATTGATAATTTTTCTTGAAACTAATCAAACTCTTCAAACTAATCCAAACTTATATATTATAAATAAATGCGTCTGTGCGTCATTCTGTCTGTCTGTCTGTTCTTTACGCCTAAACTCCTAAACCAATTTGTGTGAAATTTGATACAGACATCGTTTAGAACTTGAGAAAGGACATAGTTTTTAATACAAAAATAAAATTTATTACGGACATGTAGCGCCATCTATTGGTCTAAAGTCAGCATCAATTCAATACTATAAATGTCGAGCTATTCCTATGCTCCGTAGATAGATGGCGTTAATAGCGCAATATTTTAATTATGTATTGTTTGGTTCATGTTATTGTTTTAATTCATCGGAAAAATAAACAAATAGTATAAAGGTAAAAAAAAAATAATATCAATGTAATAAAAATAACCAATCGGAGTCAGTATAGATAAACAATCCGAGTTGTCATTATGCAGGGAGTCACTATTTCACGCGAACAAAGTCGCGGCAGAAGCTAGTATTTTCATATTATCATCGACTTGACTGCACAGTTGATGTTGCGGTTAGGCAACTCACAAAAAAGGGAATAAGCAGAATTGGTTAAGGCATCCTTGAGTTACGCGTATACCAGCACATTTTGCGTTTATTTTTTGTATAAATAGTTTTAGATTATTTATCTGATACATTTATATATTTTTATTTAGTAGCATTTATACAACAGAAATTGGATAACAGTGCTCTCTGGTTTATTTGACCCTTTTAAACTATGATTTCTGTACAAGTAACAAGCACAAATAGAGAAACCTCTGGAAAGAACCCATAATCCAGCCATGCATCTTGAGAATTCACAATCCTTGGATTGTGATCAACAGCTGCACTTGCGTGAAAAAATTCTTGCGTTGTGTCTCGCGCTTAGTATGTGGTGAATTTACTAGAGACCTAATCCCTAAATAAAAACTCTCTTTCTTTATTCTTACTTCTAGATGTCCGTGGTTGGCGTCGATCCATACCATCAGGTAATTTGCTTCCCGACCCATCACATAAAAGTGCACCAACCAAAGCAATTTTTACGTATATGAGAGACGATTTAAATGAAGTATATGACAAACTTTTCCCAAGAAAACACAAAGAACACGTTAGTTACATAAATCTAAAAAAGGATAACTTACATGGTATTGCATTTGTTGAATCGCTCGGGTCAGGCTGCCATTGTGATAGCGGAAAATATGGAATATCTAAACACCGGAACACGGTGCTGCCCGCTGAAATGTATTAAAATTATTAAGTTAATATAAACCGTCATAAAATATTACGAACACTAATTATGCACTCTAGGTATTTTCAGTGAATATACTCCAAAACTATAGAATGAATTTGAAATTCTTTTACAGTTTGCGTTTCGCTTTCATACTTAAATTTTGCGATGTTGATCTGAGTTCCCAGTGCGAATTTGCGTTATAATACGTTAACGCGATTGAAATGTTATCGCGTTTAGCCCTCTGATTGGATGGTTAACTTGGAGCTAGCCAATTACAGCGCCGAATGTCATGTCTTTGTCGATTGCTTTGATCTAAAGGAAACTCAAAACTATAGTGTTTTATGGTTCAATTTTGAAACCTCATTGTGTCCGTTAGATATATTTCAGTGTCCACTGCCGAGCAAAGGCCTCTTGTCACGGTTTGAGCATTAATTAAAACGCTTGCTCAAGGCTGATTGATTATAAGTCCAGGTTTCGTCACGATATTTTCGTTCACTATGTGTCAGTGGTGTTAGATATAGGAACATTTATTCAGTGCTAAAACATTCATCATCTTATTGTTGTCTAACTAAAAATTCCTATTAGAATAACACAAACGTGTTATTAAATCAAGGAAATGGACTAGTCAGAAATGGTGTCCCACAGTTACGGACGCATCAACGGACTTTGTAATGGAACGAAAGTGGGCCGGCTCGGACGGTGGGACAATGCATTTCCCGCGTGCCGCGACGGAACCAGAACGCATTGTAGATCCACGACACACGCGGAAGTTTCGTGCCCTATTGTACTAAAGAGTAGGTACCTCGTTCTATATTCCGAGCCGATACGTTTTTATCCCAAAGGCTTAGAGACCTGGTTTACAATACAAAAATGCCGGAAAAACCTTTAAAGGACCGAAAATAATAATGTGAATTTTACTGCCGCGGTAATAAAAGATTTTTTTTTTAGCAATTTATATTCTTTAACCAGGTTTGGTTTCATATTTGTCTATACCCATGAACATGTTATTTGATACATATTGTTGACTACATTTCTAACAAAACACATAATTAACATACACAAATAACTTACTTTAGCAGAAAACAAACTAGTTAGAAAGCATAATAGCCATTATATACACGTTACGCTTGAAATAATTACGTAGCCAAGAACGTTTGTTTTTCCTAAATGGTGGCCCCATTATCCATATATAACACACACAAATATGAACATATAAAAAAACAAAAGAAACTTACGATCTGTGTGGCATATCCTCCATAATCCGGACACGGTTTGCTTGGCAACTAGGTCATGTCTGCCCGTGCCGTTGTACGAAGGGTTGAGCATATTCTCCTGTGTGTGAAGCCAGTTGTTTGTCGATACTGCTACTAACACTGCCACAACTGCGGTCCCAGCTGACAGAGGCGTAAGTAACCAGAGGCACGCTACTGAGGAGTCGATTTGTGCCACCAAAGTTGGCGACGGAGGAGACGGTCTGAAAAGTACCAAGAAACCATTTTGAAAGACAAATTCAATAATAAAACAACCTAGATTTTAAACAAGTACATCTTGATTAAATAACATGAAAGATTTGGGGCTATCATGATATGTACTTTAGAATCGCTTTTGTACCTCACTTATTTATTTATTTTAATAAGGTAGGCTTACAGCTTATGTAAACAAAGTAGTTAAAAGTATTACACTTTACGACTATTTAAGTGTAACACATAAGCAAAAACATTACTTATATTGACTTTAAATTGTAAATAATGTGAGAGTTGGTAGAAGTAAGGAAAAATGTACTTAAATGGTTTAATTATTCCAAAAAAACAATGTTAAAATACTCTGTTTTTTAGGAATCTTTTTAAAACTTCTAAAATTCCCTTATTAAAACTGATTTGATTTTAGACTTAATATTTATTTTGCTCTGACATACGGTCCACTATTGTTCAGCAGTTTTCTTCTTCTCATGGTAAATAGATTGATTAATAAATTTACAAACCGCCTGACAAATAATTCAAAATACTTATATTGAACAAAGAAATCGAATTTAAACTCCTTGTTCAAAATTATACATTAGGAAAATAGCTATAATTTTTTAACAAATACATATATTTTTTGTCTGCAAACAAGCAGTTTACCTGATGGTAAGCAATCAGTGCCGCCCATGGGCTTTTGTAATACCAAACAACAAGTTTATAAGGCCGAAGCCGGCCTCTTGTGAGTTATTAGTAATATTTATAAGGATAATTATATATTATCTTAAATTACTAATAAGATTTGAGGATTGACGATAAAGGGAGATAACCTCTTTCACATGGCGAATCACAACGCTGTGGTTGTTGGCTTTACAAACAAACATATTTTATATTTAATATCTTACTTTGTAAAGTAGGCTTTAAAAACAAAGAGATGTATATGTCCACACCCTTTACACAATAGTTTTAAATTTCATAATCTATACCTAACTTAGATAATACTCTTGCTTAACAATTTCTATGAATTTTTCATATTTTAGATGCCTCGGGAGTTTTCTTCACTTAGCGATTTCAATATGCAGATTTCTATTAACAATTCTCGAAAGTTTTCAAAGTTCGAGAGAACAGGACAGATTCTAGCCCCGGGTCATGGAAAAGACGAACGGGCCAGTGTAACGAGACATGCATAACCTAATTACTCTAGAATCAAAAGAGGAGTGTTATTTCCATTGCAAAGAAAGATAAAGAAAGCTTTGGAAAGATTTCGCAACGATGAGACCATAGCGCTAGTTCGATGCTCAACTTCAGGGTGACAAATATAAATTGACCTTTATTATTATGTTACAATAATTATAAACTAGTAAACAATTCTAAAAAAAAAACAATTCTTTTTCGTTTCATTTTAGAACATAAAAATATGTTCCCTATTTTAAAGTAGCGCTCTATCTCTAAATAAGGAAGGGTGATGTGAAAATAATTCGCGATATTTTAAACCAAGTATAGGTATCGTATTTAATTCCAATATAAAAGATGGTAGTACGGTGGCCGAATCCCTTCCCCCATCCCTTCCCATTCCTTAAATATCCGAAACCTTTATCCCCAAATGGCACTAGTAAATCCTTTGGTGTTGCGAGTGCCCATGGCAGCCGCCGATTGCATACCATTAGGTGACCCTAAAAATATTTGGGTTGGGTAGATGTACTTAACGCCAACTGATACAATTGCTTTGTATATTTAATAAGATAATATATTTTTGTATATAGTGTAATTTATCTACTACTTTTTGTATAATACCTGGGCGGGCGGCGGCTGGCGATGGCGCCGCTGAGCGTGGGCGCAGGCTGTGCGCGTGCGCCGCGGGGCAGCGAAGCATGCACGCACTGCGCACCGCCTGCCCACATTCCTTCCTTGCGCTTCACTGAAATTCGTAATAATTTCATTTTAAAGTCGGATTTTCTTATATTTTATACTTACTATAAATACATAATAATTATCAATAACTGTTAGACCACTTTTTCCTACTGATCTTGAACAAAATACTTGCAAATTGCTTAAATCCTTATTTATCTTAAAATGTCATAATATCACCACGCAACAAGAATAGGGTTATAAGTGCATTTTTTTTTAAATAGTAACTATTGAGATTCTTGCTCGTTCGTCTCCATTCGAATTTACAATTTGGAACGAAGGTGCTCGTTCGAGCTTCACTGACGGACTTCTTTATAGTTAGAATAAATGATTTTGACTTTGACTTTGACATTGTCGGCCTCTCAAATATCAGAGATTTGAAGATTTGGGAAATTTTGTTTGGATTTGGCCTCCGGTAACCGCATGAAAAAGGCGAAACATAACATACGCGTTGTTTCACGTCAGTTTACTTTGACGTGCGTCGTGGTATAAATCCGGTCGAGCCGAGTTTTAGCATTCGTGCAGCAGTATGGAAAACTTAAGGTGTAATAAAATATATTAAAAACTTTTATTGTAATAAGGTCGTATTTACTACATACGTATTACTATAGACTACTACTTTTATATATAAAAGCATATACATAGTGTAGTGTCACATCATATTTTTCTTTCATTGAACGCAGCATATAAGAAATGTGTAATCACTTATATATTTTGCTTTCCTTGAACCTTCAACTGGCGTACAGGTATCACTATATTGACTATAATATTTTTCTTTCCTTTTTCCTTAAACATCCAAATTTTTCCACCATTTTCATTGGCAGTCGATCTTTAAGGAAGCTTCTGATATTATATATACATATAGAAAATTGTGCGGAAAATAAATGTTACAACATATTTTCCATTCATGTTTTATCAGCATTATCTAGAAACCACGTAATAAATAAATAAATGCTATTGAATTAAGGTTGTTTTTATTTACTTTAGACTTTTTAATACATTTTCTAACTCCTTAACATCGGTCGTAATATAATGTTGGATCGGAGACTCATAAATGACAAACGAAGTTTATAACTGCCAACAAGATACCATATATAATGGAATTTTTTACAGGAAAATAAAGAAAAACTAAACTAGGAATGGCTGGTATACCCTATACGACAATTGGAGAAAAAACTAAGAGGTCTCTTTTAAAATGTAGCTTGACAATATTATATTACGGTCAAGTTATTCGATTCTAAACAATAATAACAATATAACAAAAATATTTAAGATCTGAAATAAAAAGCTTATATATGTACATTGTTTCATTTAATTTTCATTCAAAAAACAGGCCAAAATTTGCAGTATCAATACTCAGCCCCTTCTGTAGCTGTTCACTCAAAAACGACATTCCATTACGTTGGCACAGGTGGGTATTGGTATTCAATGGTCGTTTCCAAAGAGTTTTTGTAGCAGCATCAGCTCAATTCATTCGTGGACTAACCCTACACCCACAATCTAATAATGTTAAAGACGACTTATATAATAAAATTCAATTATATCATCCCACTGTCTGAAATCGTGTTACAATTTGGATCGACCCTATCTCTCGCTATTACAACGTTTCACTGTTATGATTTTCGGTTAATTCATTTTTCTAGATTCCTCGGCTATATGGCTAAAAAAATTTTGTTATATTTAAGATGAAATTTAATCTAAAATTTATTACAATTTGGTTTCAGCTGAAATAACTGTTTTTTTTTTTGTGAGCACCGTATAGGATTTTTACAACTGCACGTTAGGCGCTGTATGATGGTTCGTGGGTTCGATTCTCGAAGTAAGAAACACTATATGTGATCCAAAAGTTGTTGTTCCAGCAGTGGATGTAATGTAGATATGAAACTGTGTGTGTTTTTAAAGAGATAAACTTCTTGGGCATATTTATTTATTTACGTAAGTACATGGAAAACTTGCAGCTAGAACAAAAAATAGTAACACAATCTTATTAAACACCAGAAAGCCAAAAACAAGTCTTTGTAACAATATTAAATTAACAAAGACCAGTCTGTAACAGCGCGACAGTCGCCGCGTCGCGTGTCGCGGAATGCTGCTCATGAATATGGGCCAGATACTGGCCCATCGTCAAATTATTACATGAATAAGCCGAAAACATAATAATTAACAAAGATCATTGTTAAATGATCACTTATCAGATCAATTGTATTATTTATCAGATTCATTCACTTGTTAAATTACTCACGTACATTTAACAAATGAGACATTAGGAAGATCACACATTAGCTTTGTAGTAACAAGACACATTCCATTACCTTTCAACTCAAGTGAAAAGCCATGGAGCCACAAACTGAAATTAGTATAGCAAAACCAAAATGGCTACCAGTACCTAATAACAATGGCAGAGTATGTTTTCTGTGCTTAAAATCACATTGCAATTTCAACCTTATCCTTAATGAAATATGTATGTGATTAATAAACCTTAGAATACCTATTTCGGTGAGCGGCTTAAAATTAAATTTCATTTAGTTCCTGTGAAATCACCCTTTAACCTCAATTAATGAGCAATAGAGCAGTAAATAAGGAGGAAATGTGAGCCGCTGGAGGCATAATTAAACTTAATAAGGCCATAATTTTTATTTTAAAAGCTTTGCGTCTAATACCTACTAAATAAATTATGAATTTTTAAGTAAAATATATTTAATTTTGTGTCCGACTTTTGACTGTTGACGAAGCTTTAAAGTTTTAGATATAAAAGTTTCTTCCTTTCTTCTATTTTAATGTTATTTTTTATTTTTTACTTAATTAAAGAAACGTTTCTCTACGCTAGGACTTTTTCCAGTGTCGTGTTGTAACATACAAATTCATATCCACAAGCCCAGACCCGAAACGACAATTTGCGGATCACATCAAACCCGCGACACGTTGCACGGCATCTTTTGACTAGCTGGCTAGTGACCCAAGCTATTTATAAATAAGTTGTTATCTATGTATGTACATTGTGAAATAGGTGTTGGAGTCAAGTTATGGATAAGCTCTAGAGAATATTTTTTCCGGCATAGAGGCAAACAGGCAAATTCAGTAGCTGATGGCGGCTGACGCCGACTGATGATACCACAACACCACATGTGCGTGCGTTTGTCTTTTGAAGAACAAGACGTATATGGCTACCCTCCATTAACGTCTTGTATATAATAATCCTGTCAAAAAACCCTCTCATGCAAAATTATATAATACTACTACATTTTCCTACTTATCACGTGTTAAAAATTCTTTACAAATATCTAATTGAATTTTAAATATGTCTATCTGATTTCTAGATGTAAATACTTTATTAAATAGTTTGTAAGTACGAATAATTGGAAGGATGTTTGTTACTCTTTGACGCAAAACCTTGCTGAAAAGACACACAGATAAATTATATCCCGGTATAATATATAGATTGGCTTCTTTATACTCAGTACTATGGACGAAGTCGTTGGCATATTATATAAGATTTGTACTCATAGTAGCTGTCAGTATTAGACAGATCATTTGTCTAGACTGTCATCAAACAATAGGTTAGAGCTAATTGTCCATCTAACAATATGTAACAAAAACAAAGCCGAATCGACGCCACCATGTAAATTGATACCTTAAGTCTATCAATACTTGACGAATATTGTCATGTTTGCTACCGTTATTAGAAGATCTAAAGCGGAGGATTATTATTTTGGCATAATAATATACTTAGTAGTTACATGTAATAAGTACTAGTTGACCCCGGCAAACTTCAAACCGTTATAAGTTAACAATTGGAGTTGTTTTCCTCGTCAAATATCTATTTAAATTATTTCACCTTACCTATATATCAGGTTACAGCGCCCGCTTCTCAAGCACGAGGGTGTGGGTTCGAAACCTGGCAACTGGCAAGTACCAATGTGACTTTTTCCGAGTTATACGTACTTTCTATGATTATTTAGACACCACTGACATACGGTGAAGGTAAACATCGTGAGGAAACCTGGACTTATAATTTCAAATTATAAGTTTGAAATCGCCAACCCGCATTGAGCAAGCGTGGTGATTAATGCTCAAACCTTCTCCTTGTGAGAAGAGGCCTTTGCTCAGCAGTGGGCACTTATAGGCTGATGATGATGATGATGATATACCAGGCTTCGTAGGTGTATATCGAATACCAGGTAATATAAACCAATGCATTAATATTTATTAATACGAGTACTAATTCATATTCATAAATAGCAAACAATACGCGTGGTCATTAGTAATGACGTATTATTATAATACATCACGGATCATTTCACAAATTGTCATCGAATGTCATAAAGATCACTTGCTCGCGATCGGTATTTGAGTAGCAAACATTGATTCATTTTTATTTGTAATTTCTCAGCAAGTTTTTTCGTGGTTTTTAACATAATAAACCTTCGTGGATTTTAAGGCAGATATTAACCAAATTTTTTTTATCATTTTGATGTTTTAGTAAGACTTACAGAATTGTAATTCATTTTTATTCTCTGAAATAAAATGCGTCTAATCCACGAAGAGTTAGAATTAGGAACCAATCCAATATTCAACAGATATGTTATTTTATTTTTTATTTATCCATTTATTCCAGGCATCGAAGGCCCCTATAAACATATACAATACTATAATTTATAAACAATGTAAAACTTAAAAATACTGTTATGTAAATGTTATGGGTCCTATCATGAATTGGGCACAATTTTGTCTCTGTTTTTAGGTGCAGATGCCAGAGAAAAGATCTGCTATTGGGCTTTCAATGCATAGCGTGCGATCAATTAATTCCACGCAACGAATGTGCCCTTTTTTTAGTCTGAGAATGTCAGACTCTTACTTCCCTTTTCTTCTTTTGCTTCGACCCAGGATGTCGTCTATCGTCGTATCTGAGTGTTAGTATATATCGTTATATCGTTCGTAGTGAGCACTATAAGTGGTGGTCTTATGGCTCAAGAGTGTCTTCATGACATGAGAA